GAAGAGGAGACTGAGGGGAGACCTCATTAAAAGAGGGAGACCTCTTTTTAAAAAGAGGTTGGACGTGGCCCTTAGTGCCATGATATAGTAATTGGAGTTGGATCAGGGGTTGGACTTGATGATCTTGGAGGTCTTTTCCAACCCAATCTATTCTATGATTCTATGAATGTTTATAAATCTATAAAGGGTGAGTGTCAGGAGGACGGAGCCAGGCTCTTCTCAGTGATGCCCAACGATAGCACAAGGGGCAATGGGTGTGAGCTGGAACACAGGAGGTTCCGCTTAAACTTGAGAAGAAACTTCTTTACAGTGAGGGTGACAGAGCCCTGGAACAGGCTGCCCAGGGAGGTTGTGGAGTCTCCTTCTCTGGAGACATTCAGAACCCGCCTGGACACCTTTCTGTGTGATCTCATTGAGGTTCCTGCTGCGGCAGGGGGATTGGACTGGATGATCTTTCGAGGTCCCTTCCAGTCCCCAACATTCTGTGATTCTGTGATCTTTGCGCTCTACTTGAGAAAGAATTTTTCTATTTATTTATTTTATATGTAGATTAAACATTATTTATTTTCCAATTTGCTCTAATTTTGAAGGAATTATGCAAATATTGTCAGCTTCAAGTCATTAAGTGTATACATTAGTATCCAAGACTGTGTGTATGTGTTAGATACATAGCAAAGTTATCTGGATAGTGTCTAAAGTATTGAAAAGATCTCTTGAATGACAGAACGTAGAGTCACAGGTCATTTTCCATCTAACTGTTTCTTTAGTATTACTTGATCATCTTATATGTAAATTCATTAGTCAGGTCTCACTGAGCAGAAACTTTTATGCTTCTGCACTAGAATCCTAGAAAGCTTAATTTGAGTAACTCATACTTTTGCTGAGTCCAGATGATATTCTTATCCTATCATGCTAGCGAGGGACTCCAAGTATGATATAGTTTTCATATAACTTATATGGCTTTTTAAGCCACTGTAGGCTTAATACTTTTCCAAAATACTGCTTACTGGGTAAAATCTACATCTACTCTGGATCATGCTAAATTAAGTATCTTCAGTTTATGATGATTATCCATATGTACACATAATCTAAAAATGGAGTTATAAACATTGTCATGTTTATTTTTGCTTGGTGGTTTTCTGTTTGTTTTCTTTAACTTAGCATGTTTTTTTTTTTCCCTTTGGGTTTAGATAAATGTCAAAAAGTTGAATGGTATGGTAACTCCAAAGTTGAATGGTATGGTAACTCCAGTTTTATTCGGGTGTCTGTACCACTTAGGCTTTTTTTCCAGGATAGAACTTTGCTGTATTTTCTTTTTTTTTTCTTTTTTTTCTTTTTTTTTTTTTTTTTTTTAAATCAGTGCTCACAATATCACCTAATGGGGAAAAACTCTGTAATTGTCACTATCTTTCTGCTATTATTTATGCAGAGTTAATAAAACCAGGCATGACGCATCCGTTTAGCTGCTCACTGAATAGTTTTCCTTCTTTCAGCTAAGTGTAGTTCTTTCTATATTACAGCATGCATTGGTTTCTGAAGACCATTTGAGTGAATGTATTAAGGATTTCTTAAATGCATCACTAAAAGTTGTATTTTTTGACTAAATTTCTTTCGTCCTTTTATTGTATAACTGCTACCAAAAAAGAATAAATATCATGTGAATTAATTTCTTCTTCCTTTATGAAAAATTTTTGCTTATCCCTGCCTTGGGGGAAAATGTGTACAAAGCGTTACAAAGGCAGATTTTTTTCCTAAGATTATTACTGTAGGCTGAGGTTGTGTTTTTAGGAAGCACATTTTATAATGCTTTTCAAAGTTCTTCTGTCTTTGCAGTTTTTTAAAAAACCTGAATATTTATTCCTAAGAAAGGAGAAATATGTTGCCACTCTCATTTGTGAGCTGTGTAATCTGTGTAAAGTATTACTTTATCTTGAAGTTGTCTTTGGAACTGATCTTTTAGGAAGAGGGTTTGGCTTTTTTTTTTTCCTCTAATATGATACCTGCTTGAATGTTGTTTCATTTAAACTAAGTATTTTTTAATTCAGTGTTTTTAATTACTTAAAATCACATTAAAATATACAGGGTAAATATTACTGCAGTGGAAATGTTACACAATTCAAATCAGATTTCTGAAATACTTTTTTCAGGGTTACCAGGGAATGGTTGATGGAGGTGATAATATCGTAGAAGTTTCATGGGAGAGTGTTTCAAGTATCCTGCAAGTGGTAAGTGTTAGTGGGTGGGAGTGGGACCCAAACCCTCTCTCTTTAAATGAGGATCCAAAATTCTAGATCCAGGCAAACAAATGTAATTATAGATTCAAATTTTGTGGTGACTGAGTGACCAGCACATACCACTTTTAGCAGAGCCTGATTTCTACAGTATGCATGTTTGACATGTCTTAAAGATCTCTGTGTGGTCTCATATTTGGTGCACAGAAATAATCTTGAAAACCTTTGTGCTAGATTTTCAACATTATATGTCATTAGCCTCCTAAAGCCATGTTGACAAACCTATATTTAGTAAAAAAAGATATTATAAGGCCAAAATATTCAACAACTGTGTTTTGTAAGGCAAGTGTTTTCTTATGAAACCCTTTTGGCTTCCTGTGTAAATGGATTTAGAATTATAGTAATGGGTGTAGTTACAGTGTGGTTCTCCAGAGCTCAGATAATGACAGTGACTTTGTTAATTTATATTACAATGTTCTGCAAGGTGGCCATTTGGATCTCCTGTTATGTCTTCCACAGCAGATCCTATGTTTGGCAAAAAAGTCTTACTGCTTGCCAAGCTTTCTGAAAACTATCTCCAGGTGAAGCATGGGTTTCTTATGAGCTTTCTGTAAAACTAATACAATAAACATAAAGCAGTTAGCAGAGAGAAAAATGGATTGTTTGTCTGTTAAACAAACAAGTACCCTGTAATACTGTGAGATATTTTGTCCACTTATGTTTGGGGTTTTGGTTGTTTTTTTTTAATCCCCTATGTTGTAGAATTTGTAGTTGTAGAATAATAGAATATCTCAAGTTGGAAGGGACCCATAAGGACCATCAAGTCCAACTCCCTGCTCCTCACAGGACTACCTAAAACTAAACCATAGGATTAAGAGCATCATCCAGATGTCATGGCCAAGCCACACAATAGCATAGGCAGGAGCAGGATGCAGGCATCTTATACATGTATATAGTAGATATGCTCTAAGAAAAACAGCTTTCTGAGCCTGGTTGCTGTCAATTCAACAGACCAGCAGTGAAGCTGGGGATGCATCTTAAAGAATGTGTTTAGTTGTTTTGATAAAAGATTTTTCAGCCCAACCTTTATTTCTCTTTAATCAGAACAAGTTGAGTACATTGTTTCAAATACATTCTTTTCCACTTAAAATTATGTTTTTTTAAGTATGAAAATATCTAGTTTAGATATGTTCTTTAGCCCTGATTGTTATTTTTAGAACATCTCCATGTGTGCACTTCTATTTTTTTTTTATCTGTGAAGAAAGCTGAACTGCTTCTATTCCACTTTTTTTTCTTCCACTAACAGCTGTTGTGTATTGCAGTGGTAAAATGGTGCCTGGGATACCTTGAGAGCTGAAACACCTATTGGTAGGGCAAATCATTATCAGTACAACCTCTACAGATTGGAAGCTCAAGTTTAGATTGGCATGGCCTATTTATTAAAAGTTAAAGTGAAGGAAATATTTGTGCAAAAGTGAGATAATAATATCCAGATTTGTACGCAGGAAAAAAATGGTTTTCAGTCTTAATTAATTTTGCTTTTTATTGTGACAATAAATAACATAAAATTTAGACTCTTCTTGAGTGACTGAACAACATGAACATGGAAGATATGTAAATAGCTTGTTTTCAGCAAGATGCCGAGCAATTCTCAGTGACAAGGTCTTTTTTGAAAATAATGAGTTACATTTTTGGAGGAAGCTCTTTAATCATATTAATAAATACAGCAGATAAATTAATAAACCAGAAAATTTAACATTAGTCCAATCTATAAGGCACTAAATGTGGATGCAGTTCTATCCTTAGTTCTGTGGAATGACAATAAATGCTAATTTTGAACTTTAGGGATACATCTTTTCTGTTACTGTTTATATATTTCATTATGTTGGGGGGGAGAAGTCATGCTTTGAAGCAAATTAATCTAAATTCTAAACTACTTAATATAATATCAATTTTATTATTGTCATCACATGTAAGTAACAATTAGATAATTAATTGGAATGCTACTGAAATTAATCCCAAATCATTTCCTTCCAGAGTAGCTCTTTGTCATTTTTGTGTTTTTTCTCTTTTTCCTCTGTGTATCTCTTCTTGAGAACATAATTTTTCACAGGTTTGATAATTCCTTATTCTTCATTACATTTTGCTCACTGTAAAATTAAAGATGGAAGTTATGCTACAAAATAGCTTTAAAAAGACAGTAAAATACTAGATGTTAAATTAAAATCTTCCCTTTTTTAGGGTGGTACAGTTATTGGTAGTGCACGCTGCAAATCCTTTCGTACTCGGGAGGGCCGCCTGCAGGCAGCCTACAACTTGGTTCAGAGAGGAATCACTAACCTTTGTGTCATTGGTGGAGATGGAAGCTTAACTGGTGCCAATCTGTTCCGTGAAGAATGGAGTGGACTTCTAGAAGAACTGGCACAGAAAGGTAAATTTGTGTTTAAACTTCTAGTCCAATCTCCAGGGAAGTTATGTACTCTAACTGTACATACACAAAGTATATCCAGAGGCTGTTTCTGAAATTCAAAAATCAAATACATACATTCTAAGAAACTACATGGTTCTTCATAGTAGTAGTTGTTGATTTCTGTACATTGACTCTTATATACCATAAAGATTCAAAAAGGCCGAATAAGTTACTGAGCAACTGTCTGTGTGATGCTTTTGCCCCATTATGAATCATTTTCAGGGCCTCAACTTTGAAAAACGGCTTGAAAAGCCCTTTGCCCTCAAATCCAAACTGAAATGGTAATTCCTTTCCTACAACAAGCTACATATTTGGTTGTTATTAAATTATGATGCTTTCCTGCTTGTATGTCACAATTTGTTTAAAATCAGAACATTGGCTGTTGTTAAAGTGCATCCAGACCAGTAGTTGTCTTTGATAGCATCCAGGAGAATGTATAGGAAAAGTAAAATAAGAGAGCAAGCCTACATAATGTTGTGTTGATGCTATATGTTGCTCATAATGTAGAAATACTGATAGGTTCCATCCATTTCTGTCTTCAGGACTTTGGGAACTAGAAGTTGTTAGCATTCCTTAATGAATTTGTCTTCTGTGAATATATACAGTTTCCTTGAACTCCAACAGATTTTTTTTCTGAAAACATTGTGTAGCAAGGAGTTCTACAGCTTCATTGAATAATGCAGATTGTGAAGAATCTTCTGTTTATTTTGATCCTGCTGCTTCTAGTTTCATTTGATGCCCTATATTTTTTTTTTTGTTAGAACAAACAGTGAATGGTCAATCTTGCTTCCTCTCTGAATGCCACTTGAGATTTTACAGCTGTCTTTTTTTCCCTTCATCACCTCTTTTTCTAGTTGGAAGAGTCCTAGTTTGCTTAGTTGTTCCATATATGTAAGTTCTATACCTTTGATCATCTTTGTTGCCCTTCTCTGAACCTTTTCCAGTTCTACCATGTCCTTTTTGAGGTGGGGAGGACCACAACTGCACCCAGTATTCAAGATGAGGGCAAACCATGGATCTACAAAGTAGTATAATGATCTTTGTTTTGTTCTCTATTCTTTTCCTAATATTTTCTAATATTTTGATTTTTTTTTTTTACTGCTATTGAGCATTGAAGCTGATTTATTAATGAAAACAGCATTATTATATTATGCTGAAAATAGCATTTTGTTTGTGATATTAGGGTACGTTTTTCATGTGTATTACTTTACATTTATCTACAATGAATTCCATCTGATACTTTACTGCTCACTGTGTCTTGCTAGTATTTTTCATTTCTTCTCAGACACCTCACACCAAATAATTCAGTTTGATCAGTAAACTTTGGCACCTTACTGCTCATTCCCTTTTCTAGGTTATTGCTGAGTATGTTGAACAGCGCAGATCTCTGTATAACTCCACTGGTTACCTTCCTCAGATACAAGAACTTGCATTTACTACTACCCTCTGTTTTGTTTTTTTCAACCTCTGTTTCACATTATTCTATGGAAAAGCCTTCTCTCTTATGCTGTGGCTACTTAGTTTCCTCAAAATCCTTTGGGGACAGACCTTGTCAATGGCTTTTTTTGAAATTTAAATAGAATATGTCAACCAGATATCCCTTATTCATGTGATTATTAAGTCACCTTTGGAACTCTAGAAAAGGTTTGTAATGCATGGTATACATTAATTGAAAACATTTTAATTCTTCAGAATGCTGTATGTTTATCTTTATGGACATTAATTATGTTTTTCATCATGATTTATACTATTTTGTCTAGTATAGACATTAAACACACTAGTACATAGTTCTTGAATACCATATTAAAAATTTGGCATTTATTAGCCTCCCATCCACAGATACTAAGGTAGTTTTAAGCATGTAAGCAGCGAAGGTATTTCATCCTTGAGATCCTTTAAAACTCTTGGATGATTCAGCATTTTCATTGATGTATTGGGAAACACAGACTAAGACTTAGAATAAGAACTTTTCCATTCTAGCTGCTTATTAATCATGAAATCAGAGCCTTTCAGTGTTGCAGAAGAGAAGTCTTCAAAAGTTTAACGCTGGGTTTTGATTGTTTACATATGCCCATAATCACATCCAGTTTGCATCCTTTTACTTTTTCATTGCATGTCATACACTGAGACCATAATTTGAATACTCTCACTTAAGACCAAACCATCAATTTTAGAATTGATTACAAAACCTGATAATCCATTGACACTTTGAAATAGACTGAAAAGCTCTTGTTTCCATCCTTACTGTAAGGAGTTCTGTGCAGGATTCTTTTGTTTGGTTGGTTGTTTTTTGTTTGTAGTTTGGACTAACCTTGTTACCTAAAATATGTAAACATAATTTAATGCTTGGATATATTTAATTTACAAAAGTAGAGCACCCAAGCAGTAGGTCTAAAATGTTTGTGGTTTTTGGTTTTTTGTTGTGGGGCTTTTTGTTGTATTTTTTTTTTCCTTTTAAAAATAATCTTAAAGCTCTTTCTCTGGACACTTCTTTACAGGAAAGATTGATGAAGAGGCTGTTAAGAAATATGCCTACCTTAATATTGTGGGAATGGTTGGATCCATAGACAATGACTTCTGTGGCACTGATATGACCATAGGTACTGACTCAGCCTTGCACAGAATCATTGAAGTTGTGGATGCCATCATGACCACTGCTCAAAGGTAAATTGTGCATATTTTAGAAAACTATAACAAATATAAAGTTGTTTATGCTTCAAATCTTGTTTCCTGTTGCCATACAATAGTGGAGATTATAAGTTAAATAGATGTTAGATAACTGGTATTTGTAGTATTTCTACAGTGGGAATAAAAGCTCTTTTTGGCTGCACCTTTCAAGTGTCTTGGTTTCTTTTTTTCTTAGTAACTGCTTTTCCATCATTCCTGTTGTGGCAACACTTCAAGCAGCTGCTTGTAGAGGCTGCATCAGCTTTAGGGGCAGGGTTTGGTTTTTTAATGTTTTTAGTCTTTCCCAAGCATACTCTTCTAGAGAAGATCCAGACACACTTTGAGTAGTACAAAGTACAAAGGCTATTTCCTGATAACAGTATCTGATTTCAAGAATTTGGACTGGATTTTTGAGTTGCAGTATTACAGATAATTTATTTTCTTATTTTTACAGCCATCAGAGGACATTTGTTCTGGAGGTTATGGGGAGACACTGTGGGTATGTATTGTCTTCAGTAATTTGTTTCATACAGATATAATTATGAAAGATCAAGAAATGTGAAACATAAATGTCTAATCATTTGTTATGTTTATTAGGTATCTAGCTCTTGTTAGTGCCTTAGCCTGTGGTGCAGATTGGGTATTTATTCCTGAATATCCACCAGAAGAAGGATGGGAAGATTCAATGTGTGTTAAGCTTTCAGAGGTAATCTATTACAATGTTTGGGATTCCCTGATGCCTTTGCAGATGTTTTTTTGAAAACAGTGGTTTTAAAATGTGGTCAGAACTTTCAGCATGTCTTTGCTTCTGGTGTCACAAATAGTGGTCTTAAACATTCTGTGATTGTTTTGAAGAATTGTATGACCTACTCTAGTGATTACATAAAACTATTCCTATATAAGCAGTGTATGTACCTTTCCTCATTACTTTCATATAAGACATTTCATTTGGAGATCTTCTGTATGAAGATAAAATGTGTGAGAACGCTGAAGTGATCAAGTATAAGAAATATTTCCTCAAATCCAAGCAGCTTCTTATATAGCAGTTGATTATAAAATTGTGCTGTAAATTTATTTCAGGTTTTTTAATTATATTTGGTGTGCTTTTATTTTCATTATAGAACCGTGCACGAAAGAAAAGGCTGAATATTATTATTGTAGCTGAAGGAGCTATTGATTGCCACAACAAACCTATAACGTCAGAGAAGGTTAAAGATGTAAGTGTCAATTACTTTATGAGGCACTTTCTGCTTTGTTCTTGAGATGGGGCTTTTTACTAACAACATTTCTATGAAGTAAATCTGTTCCTATAAAGTAGTTTATCACACAGTTTGCTGGTTGTGTTTTGTATTTGTGTTTTATTATCTGATTCCATAGTCCATTTAGAGGGTAGTTATTTCAGTGGCTGTTTATTAGAACCTTTTCTCCTTATAATATAACAGTCCAAAACACTTACTTTGTGAGTGCCTTAATTGATAGACAGTCTGAAATCATCTCAAATCAGTAATTATAATTTATTTTATTTTATATTTCTTGTAAAATTTTAATAACGGTCTGTCACACAGTGCAATAATACTGTCTACTTTGGACAAAGTCTTATCATTTTTTCTAAATGATTGCTTTGCCAAAAATTTTATTGGTGTCTAAGATTAAGAAAAACTTCTGAGTTGAAACTGTTCTGTTACTGGAAGAGGTCCCTTAAGAAAAGAAGTTGAAAAATAGTCATTGGCAGGAAGGAGCTATGGACACTTTGACTTCACCTGGGATTTAACTCTCCGGTGACTAGGAAGTTTTGTTTTCCATAGCTGTCAGTTTGAGAGTAATCTTTGACTCTTAATTCAGAATTGCAGTTTTATGAAGTAAAATTTGGCACCAAGCAGTGTTAAGTGTACATACGGCATATAACTATTTTGCATTTATGGAAGAAACATTACTTGCTACAAATTTCAGCCAGTTAAAACATTCAAAAACTATAAAGACCAGGGACAGAAGATTTTGTAAATAACTTGTACCTTTTTTTTTTTTTTTCTTTGATATCCATTATTTATTTTTAACCTTACATGCTCACTGAAGCTGTTTTAATAAAACATTTCCGTGACTTTAGATGATATGTAACAGAGGAAATGGAAAGAAAGTCTGAGTGAAATAGTTTTATGATTATAATTTTTACTGCAAGTTTTAAAAGCCTTGTCAATTAAGGTTAAAAGTTATCATCACTAAAATTTTACTCAAAATCTTTTGTCTTGTGTAATCTTCCACAAAGATGAAACATGGAGTGAATAAAACACTGTAACTGAACTTCAAGTATTCTACTTAAAATGTTTAGACCTGTTTTTATAAGGCTGAGGATTGTGCATAATGAAGCCAATATAACTGCAGTTAAAGCATTGCAATCTAAGTCATTGTTCTACCATTATCAAATCAAATGTTTCTTTAGATAAGAAACATGGAGTTTAGTTCTAGGTTAGGAATAAACTAAAGACTGGCTTAACGTTTATAGTATTTTCATTACTGTCAACATACTAATGTACATTATATGTAGAATTTTATTATTCAAATAGCACATAAAGCAGAGTAATGTATATATAATTTTTTTATAATATATAAAATAATTATGATAATAAAACCACTATATTTGGAAATTCTTTGCAGCTTGTGGTTCAGCGGCTTGGTTTTGACACTCGAGTGACTATCTTAGGTCATGTGCAGAGAGGTGGAACTCCTTCAGCTTTTGATAGAATTTTGGTGAGTGAACCTAAAATAATTATTCATGGCACTACATAGTACAACTACATTTTGATTATTCATTTGAGGGTGGGGTGGTATTTTACCTGATTAAATCTGATTATCTTATTTTAACTGTCTGGATAGCTCAAATTCAGATTAGTGAAGCACTTCATGTTGGGGAAACTATATTAGGATTGTAAAGCAAAGCTGCAAGAACAGTCATCCATACTTAACGGTATTAAACAGTCTGTGACATTTTCACCTACCAAGGAATATTTACGGAGAAATCATGACCATTTCTGTGATTTGAAGCCTTGTGCTTTTAAGTGCTTGCTTGAACACTCAAACATTATCTATTTTCAGGCAAGTCGTATGGGTGTGGAAGCTGTGCTTGCCCTTTTAGAAGCTACTCCAGCTACCCCTGCCTGTGTCGTGTCCCTGTCTGGAAACCAGGCTGTCCGTCTGCCTTTGATGGAGTGTGTGCAGATGGTGAGTTTCTGACAAAAAGCCAATTTATAGTTATTCATTAACTACAACAGACCACTGTGTACAATAATTGTCTGTTGTCATTAAAACACTGATGGGAATGTGTGCAGCACTTTCCCACATTTCATAATAATGAGATTCATGTGTGTTCTCTGTGTTATTAGTTATTTGCAAACTACCAACAAACAAGAAATACATATTTTTAAATTTATTTTACATTTTCATCTCAGATCTTCTCTTTTTATTATTACAACAAATTCTTCATATGCTTGTATCCATTTACATGTCGTATGCAACAGTCGGGTTTCTGCACTAAAACTGCTTGGCTTAAAGTGAAAAAAAGAAAACACAAAGTAGAGAATATTGATTCCCTCTTCCCCCGCCAAGGAAATCTTTAGGTGTCTACTTCTAGTTTGTTCTTCTCTTGTTCACTGTAATTTATGCTATGATAAGAGGTAGCTCATAAATTAATGAAATGTCAATTTTATTTTTTTTAACTTTGGAAAGCTATTTCAGAATGATCTATTTATTAGAGTATATATGAAATAATCAACTTCCTGTGTTTTTTAAACTTACTGAGTTATCAACTTGTTTTTTCAAGACTCAAGAAGTACAGAAAGCCATGGATGAGGGAAGATTTGTTGAAGCTGTGAGGCTTCGTGGAAGGTATGGCCAATAACTTATATCAACTTATTTGCTCTAGGATAGCTGTTCTGCTGACCTTTGACATTTTATTTTAAATAATTTAATATCCATGTTTTTATGTATTTGAGAATAAGAGGAGACAGAAGAAGAGTTGCTTAAATAAAATAATTGAAATTCTTATCTACATAAAAACATGTAAAACAAAACTGTAGTGCAGTACTATGTCAGACTAGTAACTGATACTAGGCTACCTAGTCACAAAGGAAAGAGTTGCTGTGTTGTATGAGCTGACTGGTAGCAACCATGTGTTTATTTATTCAAGATTTGTGAGCTTGTTTGTAAGTAGCTGGTAGTTTTCCAACAGAAATACTGGAGGGAGACCTTCTGCCAATAGAGCATTTTCTGTTTCAAGTAATTTGATAATAAAATGCTTTATCCCTGATCTATAAAACTAACTCGCCAGCTATATAGTTATTTTATATCTTCTCACTATTATCTTAGAGGATTGAGTATTCTCCAGTATTCTCTCATTTTCAGTTTTTATCTTGTTTTGCATTTGTAATAACTTTAGTGCTAATATTACATACTTGTTTTTAAAAGTTTCTGGAAAATTCAAATGTTTCTTTAAAATAGCTGTGAGTTGAAAAATTTGCTATTTTATCGTATTTACTTATTTATTTAGGAGCTTTGAAAACAACCTTAACACCTACAAATTACTGTCACACAAAAAACCAGATGCCGAGCTTCCAAAGGTAAGGGTGTTTTTTTGAGTGTGCAATGCTTTTGGTGCATCTTAACAAATAGTACTTTTCTTCTTTCCCCTGATCCTGTCTTAATACTCTCCTCAAACTTATGCTATAGGATGTTTTATACAGTTAGTTAAATATTATAATGACATAAAGATGCTTGCAACACACAACTTTATTCTAATAATAATGTAACTTTTTTATTTTTTTTTAGTGAAATACCATTCTAACTAGAAAATTTCCCACTAGACAGTTTATTTTTGTCTTGGATATGTGTCTGGTCCCAATTGCTATAGTGTCTGGTCCTAATAGTTACTGTTATGCCCTTTGTTCCTTAACGTGGAGAGAAGGAAAGGTGATGTAATCATGATTAAGAATTTTAAAATCTCAGGTGAGAGAAAGAAGATTCAATATAAAGGAATTCTAGCCTGTCCTTTTGAAGGGTAAAACCACTCAAGAACAGGGTTAAGTCTAGGAATTCATGGGATGGAATAGTGAAGACAGATGAATCACATTTACCTGATCTAATAAGTCACTGCGTAATGTCCACAGCAGTGGACATTTAGTTTTCTTTGTAAGTTGTGTATAAGAAGAAATATGGATTTATTAGGAAGTAGACACTAAATGTTTTGTGCAAACAAATTTCAGACAGGATTTTTTTGCTTTCATTAGCGGTGTACTGAATAATTTTGTTCTTGACCAGAGCGGGTGACTATGTCACCTCACTAGTTAATTCCTTTTTTAATTGTGGTTTGTAACGAATTGTTACCTTATTTGTGTGATTGTTACTGTTATGTTTTTTTGGATCTTTTTTTCCAATTAAACATTTGATTAAGAATTAATAGTATCCTCTCAGTATTATTAAGGAGAAAAATGGCATGAAGGGTAAGAAAAATTCATTTGAGTAGCTGTCATCTGTTTGAAAATTCTGTGGATAGCGAGTAACATGACAGCTAGCCATTTTAGTTGACAAAAATTACTGTGTTCTATGTCACAGAAAACTTCACACAGTAAAGGAAACTTGGTTACAGATGAAAAGTCATAGTAGAAGCTTTCAAGGAGAGTATGGTAAAATAACTGGTTTAAATTATACTTTTACCTAAACGTAAGTAAAAGTAAGTATTTAGACCAGTTGTTTCAAATATACCTGCTGAAATGGTAATTTTTTGTAAAACAATAAGGACCTAAGTTTGACCTTCAAGAGATCATGAATTCAGGAATTTTTTTTGGTGGATATTCAACATTTGCTATCCCAGATCAGATGTTTGTTTTGTTTTTTATATACCAATACAAATTTAGAACTGTTTAGCATTAGGATTTCATCTTTTATTTTAAAATGGCTTTTTTTTTTTTGTGATGGATGACATTAGAAGGAAATGTAGACTGCTTTTAATTATTAACTACTTGGATTTGACCACACTAGCCAAATCTGTGTGCTTCAATAAGAGAGGTCAGATGGGAATTAAAAAGCAGATGAAATGTGTGTGTCACAGGAATTGAGGAAAAGGCTGAGCTGATCACATCACTAGACCCTACTGAATGGTCTGCTTCAGCAGTTTTGCTGCACACAAATATTTTACTGCTTGTGTTTCCTTTGCATTTTTCTACAATCTTTTGATGATGCCAGAGCTAAAAAAGAAACCATATATCTTCTGCTTTGAGTGTTTTTTTTTTTTTCTTTTTGATTGGAAGCTTACCTAACATCTGTTCTGGTTTTTTTGTCTTGTATATGTGTCTTCTAGGCTAGAGCTAATAAATTCAGCTCTTCCACAGTACCAAAGTGTTACAATTTTGTCCTGTTAATAGTTATAAACAATTTAAGGTCATCCAGCTGACCTAAATCATGATGAATTTTAGTGTATAAGCTCAGGCTGTCAAGTGTTCTTGCATTTTGCTTCCATAGTTTGCTTTTACTTAGATTCTGTTTGCTAAATTCATACAAAGTGGTTAAACTTTCCCAAATGTCAGGCACGTAAAGTTATAATTCTTTACTTATAATTTGCTCTTAATATTAATTTCAAAGTCATAAAATAACACAAAATTAATGAATTGCAGTACCTTCTTTTTTTTTTTGTAATGGGTTATATTTTTATCTGTTGTAAATCAACACTTATTGATGTTAATGAAAATGTATTGATTTATAGTAGCTGACTGTTTCTTAATCAATGACAGTGGCCTGTGATTTGTCTGGAAATCAGCCTTCCATCTCAAGGAATACTCCTTTTACAGGAGATCTGCATTTCCTGCTTTGCAGTTAAAATTTAATCCAAAGATGCTTACTAGCATTTTACACACAGTAGCACTCTTGTATTGTTTACTCTCACAGTGTGCATTTATGAGAAATTTTTCTGTTATATTTTTCTTTTGAATGCAAGTATTGAAGTTTTTTCCTCTGGGAAGGAATTAATTATCTGAATTGTATTGGATTTAGCAGTATAAAGTAGTAATTCCATTGAATGGAGTGTTCTTGATTTGAAAACTGTTGTGGTTTTAGAGTTGGGTCTGTTAATAACAAGACAGAAGATTTTAATAATATTTTGTAGCCAGATTGTGTGATTTTTGCCATTTGTGTTGTTCAGTCTGTAATGCTTACATCCATTTAGATGTAGTTGTTTTATCTAGAATACAGTTGATAACAAAGCAATATTAATGGGGACTAAATGCATAGGTATGGAATACACATTATATACCAACATATAACATAAAACATGTTATGTTTTAAATAGAACAGTGTCTCTTACATTGTCTGTGGTTTAAATTACAAATGAGTATTTTGTATCTCAGATTTTTCCATTTGAGTAGAATATCTACTTACCTGGAATACTTGTTAAACTTGGAGAGACACAGTATCTAAGCACAGTTACTTTGAGTCATTAGGAAATGCTTTTAAAACTGCTATTATCTGAAAATGTATGGTATTGTGAACAATGCTGAGTGCTCCTGTTTACTACTCTATTGTCAGCTGCTCTGGCAGTCTGGGCAATACAAGTTTTTATCTGTTCTGCTTTGTATGACATTGATGATATAACTGCTATGGTGCTAGAATTAGTTCCTAGTCTTTTCTTGGCTATTCTGGGTGTCATTGATAACATGAAACTGGTTGAATAATGCAGGTTATTTTATGTTTCTTGAACCTAACTGAGCTAGAATATAAAAACCTGATTAACTTAATCTGCAAACCAGGTGAAAATGTGATAAAGCCTGATTTAAAAACAAATAGTATTTTTTTTTAACTGTTTGTTTTTATGTGATATTCTGCAATTCGGGAAATATGTGTATCTTCTAGCTAACTTTAAATTTTGGATGGTTTTAGGGGCTTTGAAATTTCCTTTGCTACATTCCAATATTTAGCAGCTGTGTATGATGGACAAATTAACCATGGTGTAGGCATTAAAGTGCTTATTAAATATTATTTTTCTCTTGCAGACTAATTTTAACGTGGCAGTTTTAAATGTTGGTGCCCCTGCAGCTGGAATGAATGCTGCAGTGAGAGCTGCAGTGAGAGTTGGCATAACTGAAGGCCATAAAATGTTTGCTGTCATTGATGGATTTGAAGGTTTTGCTAGAGGGAAGGTCAGTATTGCATGTGTGGATTACATAGTAGTATGTACCCCATCTCACACCACCACCTTTGTTTTTGTTCTTAGAAGGTATGTTCTGTTCTAACTGTTGTAGGAGCTGATTCTTTAAGTTCTTTTATTTCATAAAGATATATAAAACCCAAACTGTGATTGTATTTCTCAAATATTCCAGTCTATAGATTCATTTATATTAAGCATTGCAAATCAAATGCTGCAGAGCTACAAAATCAGTTCAGATGAATCCTACCTTCAAATTTAAATCAGTATTTAGCATATGGTAAATTTTCCACAGAATAACAAAAGAATTGCTGATTCTACATGATGAGTTGTTGCATCTGTGTTCCTTTGCTATAGAAAATTTAGTGCTTGTTGAGGGAGGAAGGTTTTTTTCTCCCCCAGGTGATTTAGATTCTTCTGTTCACCTGTTTTAAATGTTAAGCTTCAGTGGGTATACCCAGGAGAAACTGGTTACAGGACTTATGATTTCTATGCCTAGCTGGAGCCACAGGTCCCAAAACTAATTTCAAAGACCTAGTTTTAGAATTTTTTTTTTTTTTGTTTCACAGTCAGTAGGAGAGGATGTGAAAATAGGATCATGATATGAAAAAAGTAGGCAGGGTTCATCATGATCTAGAGGAAGAAAGAATAAATAGGTAGAATGGAAAGGGATTAGTAAGAATTCAAGAAAAATTAAGTTAACATCATGCTGTTTTCTTTCTTTGCCAAGTTCATTTTTGTTGCTGTCTAAGCCCAACAACTTGTTCCAGCAGCTTTACATTAAGTAGTACCTGGTGTTCACTGCATGTCAAGAAAAAAGTTGGTTAATTACCTAACAGAATCTCCTTCTTTACTTTTATTCAAAGATAAAGGAAATTAGCTGGGGAGATGTTGGAGGCTGGACTGGTCAAGGAGGATCAATTCTGGGTACAAAACGGTAATGTCAATATTTTGCCAGTTGATGTGGTGAATTCTAATACTTCATATAACCAGTGTACAAATTCATGCTCTTTTCCTCCCACAGAATGTTTTAAAACCTCAATTAGTTATTTTTTGTTTTTAAATTGTTACATTCCAACTTGGGTGTCCTTGTAGTACTGTACCAGCTCTGAAGAGACACTGAAAATGGGAGTCAAGACCTCAAGTTCAAAATTTCCTGAGGTCCTTACACTTAAAAGAATGGCAAACCTGTAGTTTCTTTACAGTTGACATGATTTCTTACTGGTTGTCAGGAAGAATTATTTGTATGGATAAATATGTAAAACAAAAAATATTGCATTGCCTGCTCAGTTTACTGTTTCAGCTTAGTAATTAGTTCTTACTGCTACAGAATCTGTAAATTGTTTTTATTTTTCTTCTGGTTTAATAATTTTTAGTACTCTTCCTGCAAAATATTTGGAGAAGATTGCTGACCAGATGCGCACTAACAACATTAACGCCCTTATGGTTATTGGTGGATTTGAGGTACACTGAAATGTCTAATTATGTCCAAGTAGGGTAGAATTCCTAACAAAAGGAATAGATTGTTTCAATTTTTTACCCAGTCTTCATGTAAAGTGTATTTGGTTATAACTATACTTGATACACAACACAAATAGTGTTTTGGCTCAGAAGTACTGTCATTCACTGATTCTGTGGAAAGTTGGCATTCAAGACAGTGACTAGTAACTGCAAAACAGGACGTGCTAAATGGATAATTAAGGTGAGATAGCATGGTAGTATTTTCCTATTAAAAAAAACCCAAACAAAAGAGTAATTACTTCAGTAGTGCAAGTTCCAGTTTATACTGTATCAGTACTTATGCTTCCAGAAGTTCTTGACCTTTAGTAGTAATTGCACTGTGGTCCCTTATTTAAGCCACTCTTTTTTACATAGTGCATTTCAAAATGTGTATTTGATGTAGAGAAGTTTTGGGTTTTTTTTTCCCATATTTCATGTTCATTTCATTTTACCAAAAATAATAAATTTTTGAGGTCTTGATTCAGTATTTTGCCAGCTCTTCCCAGAGAAGAAATTGCTTATTGCTTCTTGGTAAGGAATAAATCATCCATTTCTTCCAACTTGTTAAAGACATGGCCCTAATTCAGGAATATTAAGATTTTAAATGAGGAGTACCAGTACCTGAAGACTGGGGAACTAGTTTGCAGTATGTTTGTGTTGTACAAAACACTCAGTATATGTACATTAGATATTCCCTTGGAAATGAATGTTCTATTTATTGTGGGTTTTTTTTCAAATGTATACCTGGTTTTAATGCTTTCTTTTTTTCTGTGTGTGTTAGACTTTAGTGGTTCCTTAATGCTTTGACTTGCTGAAGTGTGCTGTGGTAGAAATGGCTCCCCCTGTGGCCCTTTCCATTTTATCACTCCAATTTTGTCCTTATTTTATTCATCCTAATTTTTCACCCGATGCCTGTGCCCAACAGGCGTACCTTGGACTTCTGGAATTGTCAGCTGCCCGAGAGAAATATGACGAATTCTGTGTTCCAATGGTTATGGTTCCTGCAACTGTATCCAACAATGTACCGGGTTCAGATTTCAGCATTGGTGCAGATACTGCTCTGAACACTATAACTGATGTAAGTCTATTCAGGTGTGTGCGCTTTCTAACAAAGCAGTTCTGATTAAAACTGACTAAATTGGCTAGAACCGGATATTTTTATAGACCAGAACTTTGGAAATGTAATCTGGAAAATGATACAGTTACTTGATATAGCCACATTCATGATTGCTATGTAAAAAAGAGAAGGTTTAGGGCCCCAAATGCCTCCATTAGGTTTCCTCTGAAATGACAATGACTGTAAATTTGTTAACTACAAAATAAGATGGCATATATCTGCTGTATTTGTAAGAAAGAAACCTAAAAAGACTTGATGATCATTTGATATACTGTAGAGAAAAAAAAAATCCTTATTATATGTAAAGTATCAGTATACTCAGCTGTAAAAATTGCTGAGTGACTGTTCTTTTCAGAAGAGATCCTTATTTATGTATGTCACATCTTTATTTCTCTAATAGAGAATATAAGATCCATATTTCTCTAATAATAGGAATTATATGTATTCTACCAATAATGAGATTTAACAAAAGAGAGTTGAGACCTATGAAATATTTTTTTAAAAAATCAGATCCAATAATACAGTATAAATTAAGAACGGATTCGTAAACTAAACTGAGTTGAATAGAAAGAGCATTGTCAAACACCCTGTAAATGAAATTGTCAGGCAATGTACAGTCACAGTTCATCGGGATCACTTAAGCATTAATCCATCATAGCTCTACCAAGAAGAACAATTCTGGTTTTATGTATTCTGACATAATTTTGTCTGTGAAACAATAACAGTAACATTACACTTCCTTCATTTTTCTTTTTTTCTTTTCAGCATAACCTGCAGATGCGTATATATTGCAGATACAGTTGCAGAGTGTCCATAGTTTAAAATATAGCAAAGAGCTAATAAAGCATTTGTTTTCAAAATTTCAATTTACATTTTCATTTATAAAAAAGAAACAGAATTGTTTCATAACTTGCTTACTGAATTACAATGAATTACCTTATTACAGGTTCCACTCTTCATTTTTTTTTTTTATTTTATTTTATTTTTGTTGTTTCCAGCTGTGTTGGAGCCAAAATATAGAATTTTTTCACTGATTGTACGTATTGAGCCACATTTTACAAAGTGACAAATAACAAGCACGGTGCTCATGTAAAGTGTGAAAAGAATTTCAAGTAGCTTTTCAAAATGATATGACAGTTCTTCTATAATATAGATGTATTTGAGGATTTTAATCTTGATATTATTTTCAGAAATTTGAAGGATTCCTTAAAAACTATTAACTTCAAGAGCAATAACGTAATTTTCACCTGTTTTATTTTTGTTTTTTACTATGCCAACATAAATATTTTTAACTTCAGCAAAATAAACCCTTCAGTTAGGAAATTTCAGTTTCCTTAACTATAGCCTTGAACAAGACTGTAAGCTAACTAAAATTTATCCTGAAGTTATTCTTTATAGACAAATTAGGTTATAAATGTTGTTTTCCCAGTTCTGGTAAATAAAAATATCTCTCCAAAATTACTGATCACAAATTAAGGTGAGTAAAATGATTGTGCATAACACCTACTTTTCTTCTTTTCTTTCATTCTTAAACTTTATTTACCTAACTGGCTTCTTTTTATGAGTTATTTCATGTAGGGTGGGATATATCATAGTCAGTCAGTCTCTCTCTCGTTGTTGTCTTTTGCTTTATACTAGGTTTCTTGATATTGTCCACTTTCATTAGATAATAAAATGTCAGTATCTCCATATTTTCAGTGCAGTAGCTGAAAACTTTTCAAACTGATATTTTTTTACTAATAGCATTCGTCTTGTTTTTGCATTTTGCCTGGATTTTTTTCTGTAATAAATATGAAATGTAATGGCTTTGCAAAATTTAGATTCAGTCTAATGGAAAATTAAGTTTTGTTCTTTATTGAGGGAAGGAGCAGACTTTCGTGTTGAGGAAACGTTTCTGCTTGGTATCTTAAGTTTTCTGCTCTGATTGTTTGAAGATGGTTCACTAAAACTGATAACGAAAAATTTATCCTTTCATTCCTGTGTTGCATGTTCAGATCAGGTTCAACAGTGATCATAGAATCATAGAATGTGAGTTGGAAGAGACCCACAAGGATCATCGAGTCCAACTCTTGCCCTAGCATAGGACAATCAAAAGATTCAGACCATGTGTCTGAAAAATGATGTCCCCTATTAAATGTGACTGATAGACTCTACAAGTCATACAACTGACTGTGGTAAACAAAAGTAGCAAATGGACAGGAATGTCTGTTACATCTAGTTTATAGTATTTTTATGCCTGTTGTCAGTATTAGGTGAATAAAGGTATCATAGTTTTCAATGCTTTTGAATTTGTACCTCTCATGAACACCAAAATGTCATCACACTTAGTTTTTCTGTGGTGCTGTTCTTACTTCTGTGTTCTTGACAACTTTTAGTAAGGTAAGTACATTTGTGTTGGGTAATGAGGCCTTGTTAGAGTTTGGCATTGCTAGACACTTGTCAGTGTTAGGTTGTTTGAAACTTGTCAAGGCATGTAAATGGTACCTTGAGACATGTGCAGATAAAATGTGTTAAGATGCTGCATTTAAAAAGAAACACAATAAAAACCAGGCCAATAGATACATAACATCTGAATGAGAGATTAGGCAAGAGTGTGCTTTTCCTTAAGTCATAGGTAATGGATGGTACATTTCTCAATAATTAGAATTTAGATTCTATAACAGATTCTATGGCCCTCTTGAAATGCAACATTTTTTCCATTTTTGTTTTCAAATACAGGCTTGTAATCAGTTGAATAGTAGAATTTCACTTGTCTTTTGAAGAGTGTTTCAAATTTATCTTGTACTGTATTTTTCACTTCAGTTTTCAGAATATTAGTGATAACATGTCAATGAGAACTCCACAATATAAAATACCTGGGGAAAACTCCACAATATAAAATACAGGTTTCTGTACCTGAAAAGGGTATGCTTAAGACTTGTATATCTAGATATAAAAAATAAATTCTTTAGGACTGCAGGATAAGAACATGAACTTTGACTTTTCTGTGAAAAGAAGCATCAGTAAAATAACTACCATAAAAAAAATAGCTATATTCTCAACTTCATGTTGCTAATCCAATGAAATGAATAGAATATTATTTCCAATAGCAGACCTCTGGAATGTGACAACAAGGAAGTGTTAGGTTTTTTTCCTACATGACCATGAAGGGTGGAGTTTTTTAAAAATTAAAGTTGAATTACTTAATATTGATCAGAAGAGGCATTAGCAGTACATTTTGCAGGTGGAACTAAAAAGCAGAAACCTATCCTGTAGTTAAGCAGAACAAATAAAAGGTTAGACTTTTTCTGCTACGGAACATGGAAAGAGAATGGAAAGGATGACAATTTGATTTGAAAACAAAGCCTACTGAAGGGCTAGAGGAAACTGATGGAAAGAGGAATAAACCTGAACAAGGTATGAAGGTATATTAGTTTGATTTAGGACATGGAGAAGTAAATGGGGAAATGAAAATAAAAGGTATTAGCTAGAGATGGAGAAAAATGGAACCTGGAAAAGGAACATGCTGAAACTCTCTAATGTGTTTCTTTGAGAATCTGCCTTTTCCTTTCATCAAATGGAAGGAGGTATGGGTTGATCAATTGGTTTTGTGAAGAAGAGAATAGCAAACAGCCACAAAAAGACCCTTTCTCACTGAGGAGCAAATAAATCTACAGTTAGATTCCTTTAATGCAGTCTCCATGCAGTTTCCTTGAAAAACAGAGACTCCTGTACCCTCCCAGGGCTGGTACTTGTTTACCCTTTATAATTATGGTGACCCTTTATTTGAAAGCATTTTCATATTTTGCTGCAGTGATGTGAAGATGTTGCATAAAATCATCTAATGCTCATGCTTGGTGAAGGTACAGTCTTTGGATATGTTTGCTGAAATCACTTGCATCAAATAAAATGGCAATATTTAATGCAAGTAAAACATATCTTAACTGCATCTTAACATATCATAAATGCAGACTAACCAATTGTGTTAGTTATTGCTCTTGAATCTCCCTTGTTTTCCCAAATGTCTCAATACAAACTTTTTTGTAGAAACTCATGTTTTGCAGATCTCCAGGAAGCCATGTGGTTTTACCAAACCACTGTGACTCACTGGACATCTTTATTTTTCAGTAGAAATAAAAATTGAAAGCAGCCTGATTGACCTGGGCTAGGCAATTACTGAAATTTTCTCACTGAAGTCTCATCCACTCAAAAAACCAACCAAATAAAAAAACCCACCTCCCAAAAAACAAAACAAAACAAAAAATAAACAAAACAAAACAAAAAAGGAAAAATCCATTTCTTGCTCTGCTGGCTATACTGCTTCTCAGAGCTACAGGTCTGAAAGTGCAGTCTTTTAAACCGTGTTTCAGACTTAAACTGGAAATGCATCCTAGCACTGAGCCTAATTGACAGTTGCACTTACAAAATACATGAGCAGAGTCAGACTTTAGAAAGTCACTTTGCAAGTCATGCACTGACTGCCATGTGTCCTGTCCTCTCACTGAACAGCGTCTGCTTTATCTAGGGAAAAGATCTAGAGAGCAGAACTCTGCAAGGGGAGTTTTTTCCCATTGTTTTCTCCGAAGTTATTACTTAAATCAGTCACTGTGTAGATATTTGTGGAGATAGCTTGCAATAGTTTACTTCGCTGAACTGATTTGAGAAATTGAAAAGATGAGACTTCTATGAACATCAGTCCTTTCTGGGAGAAAGAGATTTAAGAAAAATGTAACGTACTATGTAGTCAGGCTTTTGTATGAAGAGTTGTTACAAAGGCAGTTTAAAAAATTGAGAGATGCTAATTAGTGTAGATTAGAAAGAATTGGAATAATGTAACTAAAAAAAATGTTTACTGACTTAAAACAGCTGCAGAATCTTAACCTTTAAGTATTATTTTGACAGCTATTAGGAACACCTAATCCTTTTCACATGGTGATTTGTTCTGTAGTGTTTGGAATCTTCCCAAGGACAGCTGCTTTCCAAAGAATCTTTGAACTATACTTGTAAACTTTATTAATGCATTCACGTGCACATGTTCCTGGATTTTTCTGGGCCTATGTCCAGTCTGTGTGCATGGATGCAGATGTGTGATGTTGACAAAATCTTGGAAAGCATAGGCAAAACTCTTTTTCTTTTTTCTTGCTGGAAATAGGTGTGCGTCTTGACTTTATAGGATAACATAGTTTTTTAAAAAGCATCTTTCTTTAAGCATTTCCTTCAAGTTGTAGGTGTTTTACTAGTTAACTTCCTAAACTCCATAACATTTCTCAAACTTTGCTCTTTAACTGGTTTTTTGTGGAATGATTTCCAGTCTACCTTTATACTGTTTTTTCCTGCCCAAATGCTTCAGACCTCTATGCTATGCATACTTCATGTTCACTCTGTATTAACTTGCACTAATCTTCTGCATTTCTTCAAAGAGCATTGTGCCAATGCAACCCCAGTGCACTGTTGTGGTATGTACAGGATATCCCCCTCAATAATCTCACCAATTCAATTTACTTGGGCCAATGGACAGCCAGATTTACCATTACATGCAAGGAGTCATTAGCAGAGCAATCCACAGACAAGGAATGTATCACTCATACTTGTACCACTGCTTCAGGCCTATGAAAGTTGTCTGCAGCTACACGAGGCACGTTCCCGCTTTGAGGAGTTTTGTGTACCTATCTGTGTGTTGCCTGCTACTATAAGCAACAATGTGCCAGGCACAGACTTTAGCATTGGTGCTGACACTGCCTTGAATGCTATTGTGGAGGTAAGACTGCATATCTTTTAAAAGTTAAGATGATAAAATGTGTATGAGGATACCTAAAGACCTTGAAAGTCTAGTTTTCTCAAATAATTCAGTTACTGTATTTTTTTACGGACATTTTCCAAGACTAATTAAAGATTAACCTAATGAAAAATTAATTATGTTGTATGTTTAACTTTTGGGGCCTCTGTTTTGTCATGTAAGACTGCTGCATTAGCGCTTAGGGCATTTATTTTTACTGAGAATAAAATATTTTGCTTGGTTTGATCTTGTTTTATATCTTGCATAGCTCCTCAGCATTATTTAGGTGAAAGAAGAAAGCACATGTTTTATAAATAAATGGCACATTTATTGCATGGGCTAATGACTGAGCTCAGTGCTACGGAGCATTTTAAGTACATGGATAACACTAAGCACATGAATAATACCATAGGCTGCATTAGGCTTAACATATATTAAGTGCATATAAATGCATGCTTAGTGTAAGCAGTTAATTCTGTCACTGATGCTAACTAGTTTGAGGCCAGAACTTGGTATGAATGAGTCATTTCAGTCAGAACAATCAGTTTTCTAGTTTCAATCTGCCATAGGTTTTTCCCTTGGGTAAACTACTGTATGAACTGTTTAAGTTCTTTACTATGCTGTTGAGTCTGCTAGAGTTGCAGCAAAGGGAATTGAGTTGAAGTCTGATGCAAACAGATGCAAACCACACATTATCTATCCATATAAGTAATTATCAAGTAATTGGCCAAGAAAGTCAGACTAGAGATCCAGGGTTTTGAGAAATGCAGGTTTGTCGTCCTGCTCTGATACAGTTACTTTTTTATATAGATTGAAGAAGCTCCAGTAGATAGTTGAAAGAGCTGTGTCAGAGTACATTATGGCGTGATCTTTGGGAGGTGTGATACAGCATCCCTGAGGTGAAGTTGATCCAAGGTGTAGTGTGGCTAAATTAGAGCAATATGTTCACAGGCAGGACACAGGTACTTTTACCACTCCATTAGCTGCCTTTCCCCTTACTTACTTCAATGTCAGACTAAGTCTGCTAATTATAACTGGTATGACTTCTAACAGTGAAACACCTGTAAAAGTGAAAACATGAAAACACAGTGGGTAAAAAAATAATATATATTGCTGCTTCCTCTTATTTCACTGTTTTTATTATTAATTTTAATTGCAATTTGTACTACTTTCAGTAATGCTCTCAGTAAAAAAATAAAACAAAAATGTATCTATTGAATTTCATTATGGTTAGAATATTTAGTTTATGCTAAAAATAGAACACTTGATTCGGTGAAGTTTTGAGTATCAGATTTTTCACAAAGTTGGCTCAGTTCATATGAAAACTCAACTAGCAATGGAATTACAGAGAGTACTCAAAAAAATCTCCATTCCTCCATATTTAAAACTTCTGAAAACCTGCATCAGGTATTTGAGCTTTGGCCTTTCTAGCCTATGGAGTAGTATATGAATTAATGATTCTTTAAAATCTATCCATGCCATTTTTGTATTTCGGTATTTTTTCACAGTCATTATAAGAGAGCAAGAATAGTAGAAAGTTTCTGCTGTCTCTTGTATAGTCAGGGATAAGAATCCTTCTAAATAAATCTAAAGTGGGTAATCCCAAAAGCAACTAATGATTTTCATCCTTGCTTACATCTTAGAGCTTCTTGAAAGGCAGAAAATGTCATTATACTACCAGCAACTGGAAAACTTTTTTTGAAAGCTTGGCATTTACAGATGTTTTAAGTGTCTTAAAAGAAAAGAAATCTTCGCATGTATATTTATGTCTTCATTGTCTACAGCCAAGATTTTTTATATTCTAAGCTAAACATATTAAAATTAAAAGTATTATTAAAACCTGGAGTTGCATAGTAACCTGGTTCCTAGGTTTCTATATTTTCCTAAGTCCTACCACACTAGAAATTTTCTCTTTTATTTTCTCAGACTCTTAGGCAGCTCTAATAAATGTTGATGTTAATTGTTGTCATGTAAGCAACAAATCTCTTTGTAGAGAACATTTCTTATGCTGGTCAGAGTAAGATGCAAGTGGAGATTGCAGTCTTTTTATACTAAGTATGTACCTATTAATAAAAAAACAAAAACATTTTTAAAAGTTCCAGTAGTGCTTGCAAAAAATTATTAATACACTTCTGTGGATGTCATTATTGGAAAGTAAACAATAGGGCAATACATGTTCAGGTCTTAAGTTTAATAAACTATAACTCTTACGTATGGTTGGGAATGCAGTGAATTTTAAAATCAGTTCTAAGAAGAAATAAACTCTCAGTAATTAATAGAATTAAAGCAAAGAAGAGAAACTTATACCAGAATTTATTAAAAAGTTCCTTTTTATGTATTTGTATCTCTGTTAGAAAACTATCATAGCTTTTAATTCCATGCACCAACCAAAATTAATTCTTGTTTTATTATTTGCAGGAAGCAAATAAGTAAGAGGTAATAGTAGCAAAACATTTTATTTTGATTATGGTGTTCAGTGTATTACTTTATTTGGTAATTATTACAGTTAAATGGGTTATGCTATGATGGAATTTTTAAGGATGTGTATTTTATAAATTCTTTAAATCCTTTTACCAATGTGACATTAAAATTGCATGACATATAATAACGTAGAAATTTAGACTTTTTTTAAAATTTAAACTTACAATATTTTGTGTTTGATTAGACGTGCGATCGCATCAAACAGTCAGCCAGTGGTACCAAGCGCCGTGTATTCATCATTGAGACCATGGGTGGTTATTGTGGTTATCTGGCTAACATGGGGGCCCTTGCAGCAGGAGCTGATGCTGCTTATATCTTTGAAGAACAGTTTGATATTCGAGAGCTCCAGGTAAATGGCATTAGAAAGGTTTTCCTCATTTTTAAGTAGACCCTAAAATTGTTGTACATATGTGGTATAACGTGTATATTTGAAGTAGATAATTCATGTTACAAAAACCCCAAATATTTAGATTGTATCTAAAAGCTGTGTTTGTCACTAGAGCTTTCATATAATGCCAGTTCTTACATCATATTATATAAGGGAATATATACGCCATTATTCTTGGCATCAGAATCAGTTAACTGACAAAATTATTATTCTAATTGTTAAATACTACTAGGTGAATTTTTTCCTTTTTATTCTTCTGATCAAGATTCAAATTACAGACCTGGGCAGTTTTCAAAGAAAAACAAAAATAAGGGGGGAAAAAAAGAAATACCTTCTCCGTTGTGTTAGATGCCTTTTCATGTCAGGAGTTGAACAGTGTGTAAGGTGTATTAGATACTGACTTTGATACCACAGCTATTCAGAGCATGTTTGGAGGTGTTACTAAAATAAAGATCTTGGGGTTTAAGGATTACAGATTAGGGTATTAGCTGATATGGAACTTGTCTACTCTGAGGATTTTACTCTTCTGAGGTAGTTGGTGCTAGCTGTGGTCATGGACAAACACAAAACTAAACAGATAGATAGAAATTTCCTGAAAGGAAGAGAGGAGTGAAATGAATTGTAATTCGCTCCTACTCATTTCTCAGTGACGTGTACTCGTCATGTCATATATGGAGAGCAGCAGCACAGCAGTACATCACTGTATCCATAACAGGACTTTTGCAAGGACTGGGAGGAAGGGCAAGATTCAATCTTTTGTGGCAGTTTCTGTATTTTATGTATGTTGATGTTATCCAACTTGGTGTTATACCAGTATAGTATACAAAAAACCCCTTTGTGTTGCTGTTAAAATCAGTTATTTGTGATGTGGAGGAAGAAGTTAGTTTTAACCCAAGATGAATAGCCATCCACATTATATTATTGTGGATCCCCAAAAACCTGCTGATTATTTGAATTTGCACATACTACTTGATGTGGAATACTTTACAGAAGTTCTCAGGATAGGTAGGCTCATTAAAGTTGTTTTGGGGTTCTGTATGGCTTGTTAAAAATACTTTTGTTGTTTCTAGGCTAATGTGGAACACTTGACTGAAAAAATGAAAACCAGTATCCAGCGTGGTCTAGTGTTGAGGTAAGCCAGAGTAGTTTTAATAGATGGCATCCGTGATGCTGAGCGCTTCAGGCTGTTTGGCCACTTGCAAAGACACTCTGAAGTCTGTAATCCTTGATTATTCCTTTAGCATGAGATTTTTACTAAAGCTGGATCTCCAGAAGGCAAGTCTGGCAGCTGTTTGGATACTCAAGTCCAAAATTTCTTGCTGTGTAAATCTGTTTGCTCTACAGTCTAACATTTTATCCTATTTTCAGCCTATTTTCTCAGCGGCTTTGTCTTTTATTGTAGATTTTTTCTTACTAAAGATAGTGTGGAAACAAGCGTACATGTGCACACATATAGTATGGCTTTTACTATAAAAATCCTACTTAGATTTTAGGAGATAGCACAGAATAAAACATCTTTCAGAAATAAAATATTTTAAATAAGTTGATTAGCATGTTTTAAAATTGTAGCTTATTTCTGTCTTGAGCGTTTCTTTTCTGTATGCTGAGTAGTAAAGGGCTGAAAAATGAATAGCACAATGAATTGTATGAGGATACCATTATAGTTGTTGAGGTTCTACTGGTTACATGACATGGGTGAAAAAAACCCCTGCATTTACAATATTAGTAAAGAACAGCCCAAGGTACTGTTTATTAGTGATGCTTCTATAAAGGGCAAAATGATGACATGGATGTCGATGACTTTTTGTTTTAATGCAGTTTTTCCTCTACATAATGAACTTGTCAGACCTAAAATGATATTTTTCCCTACCTTATTCAACAATGGATTCCAAGTGACCTGACAGTGATGTCAGTGTAGTAAAAGTAATGCAAACCTAAAAATTGTGAGCATGTTACATAAAAGTGAACATATGTGATTAGATTAAAATATCTAAGCCATGACTACTGGTATCAAGAAAATGGGAAAACATTTGTCACTCAGTATCTCTAAAGACATCCACAGCTTAATAGTAAATTTTCTAACTGTGTCTGGCTTTATTCATTACAGAAATGAGAACTGCAATGAGAACTACACAACTGACTTCATTTATCAGCTGTATTCTGAAGAAGGAAAAGGAGTGTTTGACTGTCGAAAAAATGTATTGGGCCACATGCAGCAGGTAAAAATGATCTTAAAATTACAAATATACAACACACAAAGAGCATACCCTATTCAGACATTTCAAGCAAGTTTCACTCAGGGTTAAAGGAAAAAAAAAAGTGGATTTTTGTTTGTAGGTAACTCGGGATTTTTTGTTAGCATTATATTTATTGCAATTCCTTCTTAAAAATCTAGCTAAAAACCATGTTAGATTCTTTTACATTTTTATTCCTCTCCTCTGTTATATTAATAAACAATTATACATTTTTTGATAAATAATACACCTATCTTATTATTGTACTACATCCTTAGAACATACTTATCTGCTCATCCATAATGTATCTGGCTTCTGAACCCTGGGAGAGATGAGATTTCACTAAGAAAATATGTGCAGATTGATTGTTCTTGTAGAAGAGACAGTAGTGAGCTACTCGTTGTGTTCTTTGTACCTTGCATCTCTTTATCTCACTATACTACTTGTTACTGAGCAAATAGTAAGTTTCTAATTTGGCTACACTTATCACAGACTGAGGTAGAGTGAAAAATACGTGTAGAGTCTAAATTTCTCAAGTACTAGTAGTGAAATGACTGTCTCACCTTTTAAGTCATTTCAAGTTGTATCTATATTCCCCTTAGTCATATTTTTAGATTATTCAACACTGAGGTTGGCACTCTCTGTGTAAAACGTACCAAAGTTTATTTTGAAGGTCAAGACGAGCGTTAGTCAAACAGTCTGTTTGGAACTATTCACATGATTTCAGTGCCATCTGCTGCATTGAAAATAAACAGAAAGGTCAGACAGAGGCTTTAAAAACCAAAACAAAACAACACTTCTGTTCCCAGAATTATCTATTTAAAAAACAAAAAAAAAAGGCAATTACTAGTGTAGGAATTCCTAAGACAGTTGTTTCCTCCTAGTATTACATACATGGTGTTATGGCTTTCCTCATTCTAGCTGCAATAGAGCTGTGCTTCCCAGACTTCCTAGGTTACAGACTTGGCACTTAGGTTTCTTAGGCTCCTTCTGACACCTCACCTTCAACAATTTTCTGGTTTATATTATGCTGAAACCAGGGTGCCCTGTGGCAGTGTGATAGCTGGAAAGTGCTTAAGGATCAGCACTAAGGGGAAGTGGAAGCGAAACCAGTCCCTTCCATTTATCTAAGTGGAAAGTATTGATTCAATGAGAATTCTCCAGATGCTTAACACACATTTTGAATGTTTCAGAGTGATTTGTATGGTGGGGGTTTTGGCTTGTTTACCTGTTTTTCTAAGTGAGGGAAATGGAAATAAGAGGTAGAGCAGCCCATTAACAGAGATGACTGATTAAGGAGGCGCAAAGACAGGTTCAATAACTAAACTAACCCACACTTAAATTTTCACATAGGGTGGTGCACCTTCGCCGTTTGATAGAAACTTTGGGACAAAAATTTCTGCAAAAGCTATGCAGTGGATCTCCAAAAAACTGAAAGAAACCTACCGAAAAGGTGCAGAAATACTTGGCGGTATCTCTTGTTACTGTCTTCAATTAGTTATCAGTATATACAATTACTCTACTATGCAAACATATGAATGTATATTAGTTTGTTAGTCAACATACTTCTTTCCCTCTTGATTCTGTTTTTATTATTCAGTAGTGCCTTGCTGTGCTTCCTGCTGTAGAAGATTTCCCCTCAAGTGAGGTCAATAATTCAGATAGCTCTTTTCTTATCGTTAAATAATGCTAGTGTGATTGCCGTTTTTCATGCCTGAAGGAATTGATGGTTATATAGTTACATCTGATCTTCCTTTTTATTTCATGCTGGCTACATGGGAGACAGAAGAAGGTAATATGTCTTTGGGAATTTTTGTTAAGCACTATTTACTAAAATCTAATTTAAATCAGGACGTTAAAATTCAGTCTTGTTGTTGCTTAATTACACTGTATTTTCATTGCTAATCACCAAAGCTAAATTTAAAAAGTTAAGATCTCCTAACCCCATTAAAGTACTAATTGATGTTTTATTATTACATTAAGTATTCAGTTCTGTAATTAAGCTCCTGTAAGCTTCCTATTCAATTGAATTACAGAAAAAGGGTATTTGCCCTTACAAGTGTGAGTAAGAAAGATCCTGAATTATTTCATTTTTTAGGAAAAGTATTTGCCAATACTGATGACTCCGTCTGCTTGCTGGGAATGCGTAGACGCAACCTTGTTTTCCAACCGGTGGCTGAGCTTAAGACTGAAACAGACTTTGTGTACGTACATGCAACTTAAAGAGTTTAAACATCTCGACACAGGTTTCCTTTCACCACATCAAACAAACAACTTCTCCACAGTGCTGACACACAGTGTTTGCCAACCATTTTACTGTGCTTCAGCCAGTGATTCACTGTGATTGTTCACTTGTCTTTTCTAACAACTCCTTTTGTGCTTTCTATTCATCCTCCTTATACTTGGAGGTCTCTAGTTATGAATTCTAGGACTCCACTGTCCTTTTAAATAACTTTCTTAATAATTCTCTTTGCTCTAATAGTTAGAATTACTATACTTCTTGGACAGTTTAGTGGGGCAGCATTTCTGTGCCCAACTTGGTATTATACTTACCTCTAAAGAATACCTTTATAGTAAAATGTTTGTTCCTTCAGTACTCTCCTTGTTTTTCCCCATTTTGTGTCAAGTGTTTACATCCCACCATAAATGTCAATATCTGATCCTAGTTCTAAGGAAGGCCATTACTGTTAGTGTTGTCACATGTCCTACAAAATGTGTTTGTCTTAGCTACCAAGTAAATAACTCTTTTTTTTTTTTTCCTCTTACACAGACACAGGATTCCCAAGGAGCAGTGGTGGCTGAAGCTGCGGCCACTGATGAAAATCTTGGCCAAGTACAAGACTAGTTACGATGTTTCAGATTCAGGCCAGCTGGAGCATGTTGCTATGCACAGCCCAAAGGAAGCAGAAACTGGAGCTATCTAAAGATATCACCTATAGATTATTGTAATAGATGCACATTGTGAGTAACAATGCTTTAGAAATCATTACAGCTTTGTTTTGTAACATTTAAATTATTGTACCAGCACTTTATGTGAAACAAGATATTTGGATGTCACACAGATTTTGTCCTGTATTTGTGTTATGTTTGAAACAAACCCTAGCATCTAATGGATAAGCACCATTTACTGATACTACCCTTAACAAAAAGTGGAACACTGTTCTATGCACTCTGTAAGTTACTCATCTACTGCACTTTGTTTCAGAGTACTTACACCCAAAATGTAAGTGTAGATGGCCAGCTTTGTGTTGTTACAGGATGTGCTTAATGTTATCTGAAGTGAAATAAAGTACTGTTGCAAACATCATGAGTGACTTGTCAGAAACTATTCACCTGCTTTTAAACAACTGGTGGAATAATGCTTCATGAAGGATTCTCTATACACTCCAGTGAAGAACACTAACTGCCCTTTTCTTT